CAGTGGTGGTTCTAGGCTGACTATACCAGGGGGGCATGGGGGGGGGGACAAAAAATAAAAAGGTCAATGGATTCAAATGTATTAAGATAGCTGCATGAAGTAACATTTCCATTAGATTAGGTTTAATTGATATTTTATGTCTTCCTACTGAAAACATAAATTTTTGGCTTGAAAATGTTTGTTTGGATTATTGTTAAAATCAAAATCTCATAGTTATAGAAAAATCTAAAACAACAAATAAAGCTTATATATATAACATATATATAGAATAAAGAAATAAGCTAATATATTACATATTTTAATATGAAATTCAAAAGTGTACTGATTACAACTAAAAAAGAGACACAGGTATAAATCAATTCTTTTTCAAATACCTGTAAAATAGTTGAGCTTCTATACCTGTATATCTATGGCCGGAGCCAGAGTCTGAGTGACGCTTGGCGCCATGGAGAAATCACCGCTGGTCACCATCCTGTGCACGATGTCATTAGAGTTCACCATGGCAACCAGCTTCAGAGGCAAGCCCATCTGGATGGCGATGTAGGCAGCTGTTGGACACAAAAACAGAAGAAAACTACAAACATGGAGGATCTTCAGTCTCTCTGCTGGTCAGGACCCGGTGATGGAAGCAGGAATCACTTTATAAACCACTCAGAAGCAATTATAGGTTGATTGTTTTGGATTATTTTCCTGCTGAAAACTGGCAATAAAAGATTTCTATTAAAATTTCCTGGTGTTTAAGATCATAACACAGCACTCTCCAGGCCCACAGCATCATAGATCCACCACCGTTCTTAGTAGACTTGCTGTGCTTTACTATTCATTCATTCTGATTCACACCAGAGCTCCCAGACCCAGTTAAAATCCCAGTAAAGTTCATGTTAGTGGAAACCTTCCTCCCCACCTGTGATGTTTCCAGCTCCTCCGGTGGGAACCACCACCTCCAGCTCCGGCAGCTCTCTGTCCGTCTTCTCCAGGCCGCTGAGCTCCAGGTAGGCGTAGAAGAAGTGGGCGATCTGGACCATGACTCTGGACCAGTTGACAGAGTTGAGGCTCATGAGGCCGTGGGTTCTGACCAGGTCCTGGTCGGCGAACAGACGGCGCAGAGGCTGATCGATGTCGTCTGAGCTGCCGTCGGCTGCAGGAGAACACAGAGATTCTCAGAAGGTTTTCTAAAACCGATCCTGACCTCAGATTAGAGAGCAGCTTCTACCTGCAAACACGTGGATGTTTTCCTCCAGGCAGGTGGTCATGTGCTTCTCCTGGACCGCAGTGATCCGACCCTGAGGGTAGACCACCAGAACATCCAGACCAGGAAGAGCTTTAGCGCTGTGGATGGCCGAGCCGCCGGTGTCTCCTGATGTTCCTGAAAGCAGAATCGGTTCAGATGAACATCAGGACACGTTTTCATCTCCCTAATAAGAAACCCAGACTCAGGAACTTCATGCATTAAGACTTAAAGGAGTAAAAGCAGCTGTCGTCCATCCAAAGACGTAAAATATAGAATAAAGAATTTAAAATGTAAGATGCAAGAGCTAAATAACTCCAAAGAAAGAAGTCATTTTCTAAAAAGAAATGAATTAACTGTTACATAAAGTTTACTGTAATATTATTTTTTGCTTTGATTTTTTTCTTATTTAAAGATTAGAAGAATAAAATGAATAAAAAAAGAGTAAAACGAAGAATTTATTGTCAGTAAAACCTGATCCAGCATAGATCCCTTCAGGTGTGCTACCAAAACGCCAAGGTAAAAAGGTAACAGCAGTGACTTTAGAGAAGTAGAGGCTGCTATAACAGAATTAACCTTATTTTATTCCAGTTTTAATATTAGTTTTAATGTAAATGTATCCATTAATCATGCTTTTTTATTTATTTAAAACTAAAACCTCAAAGAAACAGTTCCTGCAAAACTCATCTGGAATTAATCCAAATTTATCTTTAATGTTTTGTTTCATCCAAATTGGATCTGAATTCTATCCTGGTAACATTAGAATTACGGAAGAGGATTAGGGCCACTGGAAAAAAAAAAAAAAAAAGTACTGATTTTTAAATTTTATTTCAGTTTAACATGGAAAAAAAGTCAGAATTCTGACTTTTTTTTCTCAGAATCCTGACTTTAATCTCAGAATTCTGACTTTTTTTCCCTAAGAATTCTGACTTTAATCTCAGAATTCTGACTTTTTTTCCTCAGAATTCTGACTTTAATCTCAGAATTCTGACTTTTTTCTCAAAATTCTGACTTTTTTCTCAGAATTCTGACTTTTTTCTCAG